CAAATAAATTTAATAAAGAAGTATAAGTTTTTTTCCCCCAAAACAACAATATACTGTTGAAAGAAATTAAAGAAGAGTTAAATCAATGGAAACATGCCCATGTTCACGGATCAGAACTCTTAATATTAGTAAGATGGCAATACTCCTCAAATTGATCTAGAGATTCAATACAATTCCTATCAAAAGGCTGGTTCAACATTCAAAAATCAATTAATATAATCCACCACATCATTAAGCTGAAAAGAAAAATCATATCAATAGATGGAGAAAAGCATCTGATAAAAATCCAATACCCTTTTGGGATAAAAACTCTCAACAAACTAGGATTATAGGGGAACTTCCTCAATTTGATTTTTAAAAAATCTACAAAAAACCTACAGCTAACTTTATGCTTAATGGTGAGAAACTAGATGCTTTCCCACTAACATCAAGAACAAGGCAAGGATGTCACCTCTCACCATTCCTGTTCAACATGGTACTGGGAGGATGACCTAGCTAGTGAGATAAGAAAATAAAAGGCATACAAATTGAAGGAAGAAATAAAACTGTCTTTGTTTGTAGATGACATGGTTGTCTATGTAGAAAATCCCAAAGAATCAACAAAAAAAACTCCTGGAACTAATAAGCAATTATAGAAAGTTTATAGGATACCGAGTTAACATACAAAAGCCACTTGCTATCTTATACACCAGTAATAAACAACTGGTATTTGAAAATAAAAACACAGTAATATTTATATTAGCACCAAAATAAATGGAATACTTAGACATAAATCTAACAAAATATGTACAACATCTATGTGAGGAAAACTACAAAACCCTAATGAAAGAAATCAAAGATCTAAATAAATAGAGTTATTCCACATACATGGATAGTAAGACTCAATATTGTCAAGATGTTGGTTCTTCCCAACTTGACCTATAGATTCAACACAATCTCAATCAAAATCCCAGCAAGTTATTTTGTGGATATTGATAAACTGATTCGAAAGTTTACATGGAAAGGCAAATAGCCCAGAATAGCCAATATAATATGGAAGGAGAATAAGGTTGGAGGACCAACACTACCTTACTTGAAGATTTACTATAAGCTATGGTAATCAAGACAGTGTGGTACTGGTGAAAGAATAGACAAATAGATCAATGGAACAGAACAGAGAACCCAGAAATAGAACCACATAAAGACAGCCAATTGATCTTTGACAAAAGAGCAAAGGCTATTCAATGAAGAAAGAATAGTGATTTCAACAAATGGTGCTAGAATAACTGGACGTCACACACAAAAAAAGAATCTAGACAAAGATCTTACACCTTTCACAAAAATTCTCAAAATAGACCACAGGAGCTGGTGCCGTGGTCTAGTAGTTAAGTTCAGCGTGCTCCGTTTCAGCGGCCTGGGTTTGGTTCCCAGGCACAGACCTACATCACTGGTCAGCGGCCATGCTGTGGTGGTGACCCAGATGCAAAGTAGAGGAAGACCAGCACAGATGTTAGCTCAGGGTGAATCTTCCTCAGCAAAAAAAAAAAACATAGACCTAAAAGTGAAATGTAAAACCATAAAACTTCCGGAAGGTAACATAGGAGAAAACTTAGATGACCTTCGGTTGGCAATGGCTTTTTAAAACAACACCAACGATACATGAAAGAAATAATTGATATGCTGGACTTCATTAAAATTTAAAACTTCTGTTATGAGAAAGACTTTGTCAAGAGAATGAAAAGACAAGCCACAGAACTCAGAGAAAATATTTTCAAAAGACTTACTTGATATAGGACTGGTATCCAAAATATACAAAGATAAAACTCAACAATAAGAAAATGCACAATTCAATTAAAAAATTGGCAAACATCTGAACGGACACCTCACCAAGGAAGATATACAGATGGCAAACTACGCTAAAAAGATGCTCAACATCACACATCATTAGGGAACTGCAAATAAAAAGAACAATGGCATACCACTACCCATGTACCAGAATGACTAAAATCCAAAACAATGACAATGCCAAACGCTCAGAAGGATGTGGAGAAACAGGAACTCTCATCCATTGTTGGTGGGAATGCAAAATGGTACAGACACTTTGGAAGTTTCTTACAAAACTAAACATACTCTTACCACACAATCCAGCAATCATGCTCCTTAGTATTTACCCAAAGGAACTGAAAACTTATGCCCACACAAAAACCTGTACACAAATGTTTACAGCAGCTTTATTTATAATTGCCACAACTCAGAAGCAACCAAGATGTCCTTCTGCAGGTAAATAAACAAACTGTGGTACATTCATACAATAGAATATTATTTATCATTAAAAAGAAAAGAGCTATCAAGACACAAAAAAACATGGAGGAACCTTAAATGCATATTGTAAAGTGAAAGAAGCCAATCTGAAAAGGCGACAAACTGTATGATTCCAACTACATGCAATTCTGGAAAAGGTGAAACTATAGAGACTGTAAAAAGGTCAGTGGTTGCCAGGAATTCAGGGGGAGGGAGGGAGGGACGAAAAGTTATAACACAGGAGATTTTTAGAGCCGTGAAACTATTCTAGGGGGACTGTCACGATAGATACATATCATTATACATTTGTCAAAGCCCATACAATGTCCAGCACAAAGAGTGATCCCCAACATAGACTATGGACTTTAGTTGATAATCATGTATCCATATTGGCTAAGCAATTGTAACAAACGTACCACACTAACGCAAGACGTTAATACACGCAAAACTCTAGGTGAGGGAGGGGTACATGGGAACACTCTGTGCTTTCCACTCCATTTTTCTACAACCTAAAACCGCTTCCCCAAAATAAAGTCTATTAATTTTTTAAAAAGCAAACAATATCAATTGTTAAAAAAAAAAAAAAAGTCTATCGTTAAGAAAAGGAAACAAATCTTTAAAATTCACAAGGCACTCAGAATTCTGCTCACCACAGAAAGCCGACTGAGGTTTTGGTGAGAGCAGCTGTTACCCTGTGGTGTTAAAATAAACTCTGGACAGCTTTCTGATAACCTCTCATTTGGCTGCTCCCAAAACAATTGTGTTTATAGTAAATACCAAGATTCTACTACTGGTGAAAGCCCTGAAATTATCTTCCTTATCCACAATTAACTATAGGCTCTGGAAAGCCTCCCTTTCTTTCAGACTCAAAAAGCAAGTAATTGAATTAAATATTTTTGTAAATGTTCCTGAAGACTACATTCTATTTTTTCTCTGTTAAATAACAGCTCTCTCTGCTAGTCTCTCTACCAACCAGCAGAATTCATAATTCCATCTCTTCTACTCCCACAGTACTTAGTTCTTACTTCTGGCGACACATTTTTCACCCCGTGCATCAGCTGGCCGGTTACCGATATGGCCCAGTCCCTGCCCTTTGAGCCCCTGAGGACAGGACTGGGCCACAGTCATCTCATGCTAAGACTCACACTCAAAAGGTATCACCATCAAGATGTTTGTGGATGTAAGTGATGGACGCCTAATTCACACTAACTGGCTAACCTGCCAGGAAAGAGAAACTGGAGGTACTGGCTTTAGGGGCTGCTGAATCTGGGGCCATAAGTTGGGGGTGTGGGCATGTGTCCCCCTCACTCTCCATCTCTTTTCCTCCATCTCCCTGCTCTGATTTCCTGTGTGGACTTCATTCTCAGAAAGGCTTTCCCTAAATGGTGGCAAAGAGGGTCACTGGGAGCTTCAGCTTCACAATCCCACAAAAGAGAAAGGCGTCTTTGCAACGGTTTCAGTGAAAATGCTGGGGCTCCTCCATCAACTGATCCTTGTGACCCTGACTAGCCAAGCTGATGTCACATGCCCAATACAGAGACAGTGAGGTCACCTCCTCCAACAACACAAGCTGAAAACAAAGCAAGGGTGACTGACTGCCAGGGGAAAATCTGGGCAGTTTATTAAAAGGAGGAGGAAAAGGATGCCGGGTGGGCAAAGTCAACAGACATTCACTGCTTCACAGGTTCTCAAGACTGCTGACGTGCTCCCTTCTAGTATTTATTAACTGTTTAGTACGTAGAATGCTGACTTACCCACTGAAGATCCAATAGAAAGGATCTGCAGTGCCTGTCCCTGTGCAGTATACTTTCTCAAAATGAATTATTTCCCACCCACGGCCACATCTGAGGCTGTGTATGCAGTTTCATTCTCCCGGGCCACAGTGGCGCTATTTTGCATTTATTTATATTCCTATTATTTTCAGGGCATTTCTTCTCCTTTGCCCTATATGAGTATCTTAATATCAAATGCACACCCTGCTGAAAATAAATGTGCTGCTAGCTTTGGTTTTGGGGGAGATAAGAGTAAGTAAAAACTTGCCAAGCAAAGCAAAGGAGCACAGACAGACGTGCACCACCGCCCCCACCCCGCGGCCGCAAAAATTGGCAGGTCTCCATAATCCTCCCTTCATAGCATGAAAATACAAATGAGGGCAAGCCTCTGAACTTTACACTGTGCATCAGCTGGTCGAATACTGATCTGGCCTGTCCCCTACCCTGTGAACCCCTGAGGACAGAACCGTGCCACAGTCATTTCATACTAAGACCTCAAATCTTAAAGGCATTACCAATCAGGATGTTTTTAGCCATAGGTAGTGGACACCTAATTCTAACTAACTGCTAACCTGCAGTACAAGTCTGTGCTTTCTCCAGCACACCGCTTTCTCTCCAAAATAAAGCCAAGAGTACTGAGGTTTGTCAGGGGTGGCCTCTGGTTGTGGCATCTTAGAAATCTGCACTTAAGATCTTCCTCTCTTCTCTGAGAGAGAAGAAGATGAGAAAGAGGAGGGAACAGAGGAGAGGAAGAAGGAAGAGAAAGAAAGGAAAACAACAACACCCTGAACACAGAAGTCTGTCAGGATATATCTGGCCTTCATACGCTGCTGGGAATCTCTCAGATAACTGGGAATGATTAATTGGGGTTGTCTCAAAGTTGTAGAAAACAACTTTTCCCTGTGTGACCCAATCCACTTTATCCAGCCTCTCTTATCTTATACCAACCTGATTTTGCTTAAGGTGTCGTCTGTCTCAGGCTTTCACAGCAGCTTTCTTTTATGGATTTTCCATCCAGCAAATGTTTCTGTTCCACGGCTGGGCAGATCCGAGCACAGCATGCTTGGCTACGGACGCAGCGGCTCACCCACAGCAGCTCCAACCTGGAGGGGCAGAGGCCAGAAGCCGTTACAGGGATTCATATTCACAAATTCTCTCTCTCAAGAGTATGTGTTTGGCAGGATAACCCCAATCATATACCAAATGTTTAAAATCATTAAGGAACAGAGACAACAGCTTATAAGGTGTCCTAAAGACAAGTTTGAGCTATTCCGAGGAGAAGACTGAAGTATTTAATCATTATTGAAAAGGTTTGGCCCAACGATTAGGCTTTGTTTGTGGAAAATTTAAAAGCCAGATGTTTTCATTAACCACAGAAAACACAAGCTACAACTAAAATTTCATGAACACACTGATCTGCTCTGTGGAAAACCACAGGAATGTTCTGGCAAGGCTCCGTCTGAATTCTTGGGACACAGAGGGCTGGAATCCTTCCCCTTAGGAACTTGAACAGAAAATGAACTTGCTCAATACATTTTAAAAAAGTAAAATGAAACCCAGATTTAATCTCAATCAAATACAAAAACATTTCAGGACTTCAAAGGGCACCACACCAAAAGACACATAAGGGGAAGGTCATAAAAAATTCCAATGTGGTTCAGGATTTAGAACATATTTTCAATGCAAACGGAATGTGTAACAGAAAATTTTATAGGCTGAATAATCCCAAGGAGAAACTAATCATATTCCATCTCCTAATAGAGGAAAATGATATACGAAACCCATATTCAACAAGTGAATCATAAATATTATCAAATATATAATATAGTTGGGCAAAAGGAATCTCTTAACTACTCTAATTCATGCCAAACCTGTGGCCTGGCCCACACTAGCTACCCTGCCTCAGCTTGAGTAATCAAGGCATCCAGAAAAAGAGTGTTAAAATAACTTATTCTTACTGATAGTGCAATTAGCAATTCTGGCACAGAAAACTCAAATGAGGGAATCTTATAAAAGCAATTCATCAACAATTAAGAACTAATGGTCTAAGAAGTCTTCGTTTGTTAATTATAGTTATAGTTACGACAACATCTATATAGCCTAAATATTGAAAGCCTATTCAAGAAGGAACAGGACAAATGTTATTTTCAGATACTGGGTCCATGATTCTATTTCTGTAACTCAAAACAGACCCTGTCACAAGTGTGCCAAGCATAATATTACATTAATCTCTACCTTTATTTGAAACCTCAGTCCCAAAAATCATCTCAAAAGGAACACAGCAGGAAAAAAGCAAGATGTCACGTTATACATGTATGGTATAATTCCAGTTTTGTTCTACAAACCAAGTGTGTATAATCTAAAGACACCAAAGTATAAACAATATCTATTTCTGGGTCACGGAATTAGAAGATATTTGTATTTCCTTCTTGGTGTTTTCCAAAGTTTCTACAATTAATATCTATGGCTTGTAGAATTTGAATATTTTTACGGGGCCGGCCCAGTGGCCAAGTGGTTGGGTTCACGCACTCCACTTTGGTGGCCTAGGGTTTCATTGGTTCAGATCCTGGGGGCAGACCTAGCACCACTCATCAGGCCATGCTGAGGCGGCATCCCACATAGCACAACGAGAAGGACCTACAACTAGAATATACAACTAGATACCAGGAGGGGTTTTAGTGAGAGGAAGAAGAAGAAGAAAAAAAAAAGACGAAGATTCGCAACAGATGTTAGCTCAGGTGCCAGTCTTTAAAAACAAAAAAAAAAAGAATATTTTTAAATAAGGTTTTTCTTAAATAGTATGGGAATACAAATCAGAAATGGGATGTCTACACTATATTAGCCTGATCTCTGGGTTTTCTCTTATCTGAACAGTAAGAGCTAATAAATTTAGAAGTCTTCCTTTATCTGACTCAGTAATTCCTAATTTAGAAATTCAAAACCCAAGTGTCCAATAACACTTCCAGGGCTGAACAACAGTACTTTCCTAGAGATAAGAAATTTTTATTTGTTATTCTACAGACTTGCCACAAAGAGACAAAACGACCATAGCCATTTGCCTCCCTTAACTAATGTATCCAAACTTCTCTATCACTGGCCACGCCATACAATTGTGGCTTAATTAAAAAGAGTGCCTCCTGATGTTACTTACAATGTCACAGGAGCAAGGCCCTTAAGTGAACCCTGCCACACTCCATTTCTGATACTCTTAGCAGCGAAGAAAACACCAAACACAACGGCAGAATCTTAATGCTGGGTTACTTGACAATCCGTCACTTCAAGAAGCCTAACCCCCTCAGTTTACAAATGAAGACACTGATGCCCAGAGAGGTCAAATGTCTTTTCCAAGGCCACACAGCTGGCAGAGCAGGGATAACAATCTAGATGGCCTGCCTGCGCTTTGACCAAGCGCTCTTTCCACTACTACAACATCTCAGCACACGCTCGTTGAAATAAGTGGGTACGAACCACACATGTTAAATTCATACCAGCAAAACTAGAAGAACAAGAAAGAAATTTGTTCCATCAAAAATGAAATGCATGCAGGAAAAAAAAGCGAAGACTCAACCGCAGGCTAAAAAAGACGTGGCTCTGCCCAGAACACATTCAATCAGAGAAACAATGGTGGCAGTGTGCTCGGGCAGCAGGTGTCCCGAACAGAAACTGCCTATCACACCGAAGGCTTTCTGGTCCTAGTACTTGCCCTGCTGATAACAGCACGGCCCCACAGCTCAAAGCAGGACAAAAGGTTTGCACCAAGATAAATCCATACTTGCACCACGCCACCTGTAAGAGACAGAAAGGATGCGTGCTCACTCCACTGTTGGAAATAAGTGATTTATGGCATCAAGTTCTGGCCTCTTCCTTCCAAAATGACCTAAGACTTAGAGAAGAAACACTAGTGGATTCAAAAATTAAGAAAATAACAGGCACGAAGAAATAAAATAAAATAATCCTACTGCTTCACATCTTATGTTGGATACGACCTTAGAGAGTGAACAGGATTTTTCTCTTCCTCTAAATGATTTATTTGAACTATTGCTCACCTCCACTTCTTTGTTAGCATTTACCTACAGTGCCCACGCCACACCAATCAGAAACCTAAGGTTCTCACAAAATGTGAAAAGCCTGAAAAGCAAGGGGGGAGAAGAGGACAGATGGCAATGACAAACTCAAACGCTCCCTGAAAAGCCTTTATTGAGCTCACTTCTCGTGGCCCTTTGCCTACTGTGCAGCAGGACAACAAAGGCATGAACTGTGAAGCTGCTAATAAAAAAAGCCGCATCAAGCGATGATGTGATCTCGCTTTGTTAAGAGCAGAACAAACACGATGGCTCTGTCTCGCCTCATCTGAGAAGTCAGGCACCCAACAAAAAAGAAAATGCGTTTTTTTCCACCCAAAACTGCCCCTAAAGTCTCCACCATATATGTTCATGGCTGGATCCTGGAGGAAAGACAATATGGGCAGTTTATTTACTCCCTCCTCTGCCTCAGTTCTAATACTAAAGGTTCAAGTCCACAGCTGGCAAAAGGAATTAGACTCTTGTCGCCGTTTCACAATGAAACCAAAGTTCTGCGGGTGAGTATGGTTCAAGCAACTCTTTAAAGTCATTTGTCAGGTAATGATAGTAAGTTTGAATTTAGCAGTCTGGTGGAATGAACTCTGACCTACTAATCACATTGGGTACAATCTTGCTGAAGTCACCAAATTATTTTTCTCAAAAGAGACTAAACAGAAATTAGAATTAGATCTGATTCATAGAGTTTAAAATCCTTTCTTACTTGGAACGTTGGCTGTGTGCTGTTTCGTTTTTAGGCATTCAGTGAATGCCTTTGGCAAAATGTGCACATAGATACTGCCACCATTTAAGAATCCTAAATGTTTGGCCAGCATTTTATTTTTTCTATTCTAACGTCATAGGAAGGTTTCTCCTTCTTGAGCCTGATTCCAGAAATATCAGCCAAGCCAATTCAACACTTTGGAAATGTCTATCTTAAAACAACCAAGAGGACCAAGCAAAAACATGCTGGAGAACATTCCTCTCATTGCTTTGGAATTTTATTTTAAAAGCTTAGATTCACAATATTGATAGATTTACATGTTAAAATGTTTGGGAAAGGAGAGTATAAATTGTTCCAAATTTTTTTTTAAATAATCTATGATAGGTACTCATCACAGGTAACCAAAAAGAATCTATTATGAGGGGCCACCCGGTGGCGCAGCGGTTAAGTACACACATTCTGCTTCGGCAGCCCGGGGTTCACCGGTTCGGATCCCAGGTGCAGACATGGCACCTCTTGGCAAGCCATGCTGTGGTAGGCGTCCCACATATAAAGCAGAGGAAGATGGTCACGGATGTTAGCTCAGGGCCAGTCTTCCTTGGCAAAAAGAGGAGGATTGGCAGCAGATGTTAGCTCAGGGCTAATCTTCCTCAGAAAAAAAAAAAAAAAGAATCTATTATGAACAACCCAAACTGGTACCCAATAAATTTTGTGGCTGATGATAAAGACATTATGGCAATTTGGAAAAGGTTTAACATAATAACTTCCCCGGTGATGCTCTCAAGAGGGTTTCAACTGGAGGGTGAACAGGGGGAATATATGCTTACTAATGTTTTAAAGGTTGTTCTGGAAAGAAAAATGGATGAAGAAATTAGCAGATTTTGAGGTTGTGGTCCCAGCTCTACGGCTTATGATCCGAGGCTTTCTAGGATAACTAATTTTTTCTCTTTAAACTTTGTTCCATCATTTGCAAAAGTGGGATGCTACTATCAGCCAATTTCATGGGATTTTCAAGGGATGAAACCAAATCTGAAAGCATTACAGAAATTTATAAAGCACTATGTATTTGTTCAACAAATATTTACTAAGAAACCACAATGCTGCCAGATATGGCACTGTGGATACAGCCATGAACAAGAGACCCAGTCCCTTCCTGCAATGACCTAGGTTAAGGGACACCGTGTGATTTGTGAGAGGCACAGGGGGCTATGGGAACATGGAGGCAGCCTCTAATCTGAATGCCAGACAAATATCAGGTATTGTTACCTTTACAAGCCCTTGAGGAATTTTCTCAGTGAAAAGTAGTAGATGTGGTTTTTAG